TCAGAAAGCTCACACAGGGCACTAGATCCATTGAGGAGTATTTTGAGGAGTTTGAGCTACTCAAAAATCGCTTGGAGACCAATGAGACCGAAGAAACCCTCATGGCGTAGTTCATTGATGGGTTACATGATCGAATAGCAAGAAAGGTGGAGAGGACAACCTACCGAGACCTTGATGAGCTCCTACACTTAGATGTACAAGCTGAGCAGCACGTCAAGAGGAAGTCAGCCTCTACTGCTAGAGCTAAACCCACTTGGAGTTCACAGCCGAGAGCCTTTGATAGAGGCAAAGCACCAGAAGCAGCTTCCAAGTACAAGAAGCCGGTTGTAGAGACGTCTAATGCAGCTACTGGCGAGACAAGCAAGCCCCAAAACCAGCGAGCTAGAGATGTTACATGCTTCAAGTGCCAAGGAAGAGGCCATTACGCTAGAGAATGTCCAAATCAACGGGTGATGTTACTCAAGGAAGATGGCGAGTATGAATCCCAAGATGAAGCCGAGGCCAAGTTTGATGATTCAGAGGAATAAGTGACTGATTTTCCTGACGAGGGAGAGCTACTAGTGACCCGGAGAGTTCTCAGCACCATGTTTGATCCAAAAACCATTCAAAGAGAGAACATCTTCCATACACGCTGTACTGTGAACACCAAGGTATGTAGTCTCATCATAGATGGTGGTTCGTGTACTAACGTGGCTAGTAAGTATCTTGTAGATAAGCTAGGCCTCAAGAAGACAAAGCACCCGAGACCCTACAGACTCAAATGGTTGAATGACGAGACAGAGCTAAAGATAGGAGAGCAAGTGTTAGTACCATTCAGCATTGGCAAGTATGAAGATCAGGTTCTATGTGACGTAGTTCCCATGCAAGCAGGCCACATTCTACTTGGTAGACCATGGCAGTTTGACAAGGAAACGATACACAATGGCCGTACCAACTTTTACAGCTTCTCTCACAACAAGAAGAAGCATAACCTTTCTCCACTTACACCCCAAGAAGTCTTTAATCTCCAAATGGCTATGGACAAAGGAGCTAAGGTAAGTAAAACTAGCCTTTATGTTACTCCTAGTAATGTTTTAAAGGCTTTAGAATCCAAAACGCAGGTGCTACTCATGATCTTTAGAGAAGGGTTGTTTTCAGGTCAAGAGGAGACTGTTTTACCCGCCGAGATGAATGAGCTTTAGGAGAAATTCAAAGATGTCTTCCCTGAGGAGATACCAGCTGGTTTACCACCCATCCGAGGCATTGAGCACCATATAGACCTTATACCCGGAGCACCTTTACCCAACCGGCCAGCTTATAGAGTTAACCCGGAGGAAGCAAAGGAGCTAGAAGCACAAGTTCAGGAGCTTATGTCCAAAGGATACATCCGAGAAAGCTTAAGTCCTTGCGCTGTACCGGTCTTGTTAGTACCAAAGAAGGACGGATCATGGAGGATGTGTGTAGACTGCCGAGCTATAAACAATATCACCATCAAGTATAGGCACCCCATCCCTCGGCTAGATGATATGCTAGATGAGTTGAGTGGAGCTACAATATTTTCAAAGGTTGATCTCAAGAGTGGCTACCACCAAGTCAGAATGAAAGAGGGCGACGAGTGGAAGACAGCATTCAAGACCAAGAGAGGTTTATATGAATGGCTGGTCATGCCTTTCGGTCTCACCAATGCATCGAGCACCTTCATGAGGCCCATGAACCATGTACTGCGAGCATACATCTGTAAGTCAGTAGTTGTGTATTTTGATGACATTCTGATCTATAGCTCTAGCTTAGATGATCATCTTAAACACATTGAGCAGGTGCTAGAAACGTTAAGGTTGGAAGGCTTACATGCGAACCTAAAGAAATGTACCTTTTGCACTGATCAGTTAGTGTTTTTAGGCTTTGTAGTAAGTTCACAGGGGCTTAAAGTGGATGAAGAGAAGATCAAGGCGATTCAGGACTGGCCAACCCCCTCCACCATCGGTCATGTCCGGAGCTTCCACGGCTTAGCCAGCTTCTATAGGAGATTCGTGAAGGATTTCAGCACCATTGCCGCCCCCTTAACCTCGGTGATCAAGAAGAATGTAGCATTCTCATGGGGAGAGGCACAGGAGCTAGCATTGCAAAGGCTTAAGGATAGCCTTACACATGCGCCTGTTTTGGCATTACCTAACTTTAACCAAATGTTTGAAGTTGAATGTGATGCATCAGGGACAGGAATCGGAGCTGTTCTTACTCAAGGAGGGAGACCCGTGGCTTTCTTCAGTGAAAAGCTCAATGGAGCAACCCCTAACTACCCTACCTATGACAAAGAACTATATACTCTAGTAAGATCTCTTGAAACTTGGCAGCATTACCTTTTATCTAAAGAGTTTGTTATTCATACAGATCATGAGACCCTCAAGTACTTGAGAGGCCAAACTACTTTGAAAAAGAGGCATGCTAGATGGCTTGAGTTCATAGACACATTTCCCTATGTAATCAAATACAAGAAGGGAAAGGAGAATGTTGTAGCGGATGTTTTATCAAGGAGACACGCCCTCATCTCAACAATGGAGGCTAAGATCATGGGGTTTGAGCATCTCAAGCAACTATACGGAGAGGATCCTGACTTGAAAGAGCTTTATAACCAATGTAGCCGAGGAGTGTTTGGTTCTTTTTACAGGCATGATGACTTTCTATTCAAGGATCGCCGGCTATGCTTACCTCAAAGCTCGGTTAGGGAACTCATCATAAGGGAGGCACACAGTGGAGGCCTCATGGGACATTTTGGGATGGACAAAACGCTTAGCATCGTCAAGGAGCATTTCTTTTGGCCTCATCTTAGACGTGACGTTGAGAGGTTCTGCTCCAAGTGCATCACTTGCTTGAAAGCAAAATCCAGGTTGCATCCCCATGGCTTATACATTCCTTTACCTATACCTGACCTACCATGGGTAGACATTTCTATGGATTTTGTTTTAGGCTTACCCAAGATCAGAAACAAGAATTCAATCTTTGTTGTGGTGGACCGTTTCTCTAAAATGGCGCATTTCATCCCATGTGCCAAGACTAATGATGCTACCCAGATTGCTGATTTGTTCTTTAAAGAGGTGGTGAGGATTCATGGACTTCCAAGAACCATTGTTTCTGACCCAGACACCAAGTTCTTGAGCCATTTCTGGAGAACCGTTTGGAGGAAGCTTGGGACTAAGCTTCTCTTCTCAACAACTTGTCACCCACATACCGATGGACAGACTGAAGCAGTCAACCGTACACTCTCCACCCTCTTAAGGGCTACGGTTGGTAAAAATTTAAAGAATTGGCTAGACTGTTTACCTTTCATTGAGTTTGCTTACAATAGAGTACCCCACTCGGCTACTAAGCTTTCACCCTTTGAGATTGTCTATGGTTTTAGACCCATTGCTCCTTTAGATCTTACTCCTTTACCGCCGGTGCAACAAGTGAGTCAAGATGGAGTTAGTAAGGCCGAACTGATGAAGACTATGTTCAAGAAGGTCAAGGAGAACATAGAGAAGAGGAACGAGCACTACAAGAAGAATGCTGATAAGGGACGCCGAGAAGTTACCTTTGAGCCTGGCGATTGGGTTTGGCTGCACATGAGAACCGAGAGGTTTCCAGTTCAGAGGAAGTCTAAGCTGTTACCAAGAGGAGATGGCCCGTTCAAAGTCCTCATGAAGATCAATGACAATGCATATCAGATTGAACTTCCAGGTGAGTTTAACATCTCTACTACTTTCAATGTATCTGACTTGCTACCGTTTGATGTAGGTGAATCTGTTCTGAGGACAGAACCTTCCCAAGGGGGAGAGGATGATACAAACTTAGGAGCTGAAGCTGACGTTCCTACCATGAGACAAGCTCCAAGAACAAGATCAGGAACTAAAGACTTAGCTGATGGCTTCAACCAAGCAGTAGAGACGCTGATCACTTCCCAGCACTTAGAAGATGTCACTACTCAACTAAGCCAATTGAGCATCGCCAAAGAAGCAGCAATGGTGAGGGCATATCTAGACGAGGAGGGCATTCCCAACAAGCAAGAAGACCTTCCCAACGAGCAAGAAGGCGGTTTAGACATCATCAACGGCCCTCACATCAAAAGCATAGGTTATACACGTGACTGGCCATTGATTCATGCCAATAAAGGAGTTTCCTTATTCACCATCACGTCATCTAAGTAAAACACATCACTTTGAGCTAAACCAAGGTATGATCCGAATCCTTAATTTCCATATGGTTTAGTTCTACTAATCAAACCTTTTCTGTTTTGTTTCTTGGTTTAAGTTTTATTTCATTTAAACTTTAGTATAAGGCATGTTGGCCACATTTTTATTTACATTTTCGTTTTAAGGCATTGTTAGCCAAGTAGTTTAACCTAAGGGTTTTGTAATCTGTTTCAAGTCCCCTAGAAGGGCAAAGCTGTTCGGACTGTTTATAAAGTCTCCTCACAGCCGTGTATTCTTTTCAACATATCAATAAAGCACGAACTTCTTGGCTAAGTACCAACTCCTTGTTCTCTAAAGCTTTGTGTGATTCATTGCTTGAGAGTTCTTTGTCTTATCAAGGTTTAGATCCATAAAGCCTTGTGGTGACTTTCATTCCATCTCTCTATTCATCTCATTCGCTAGATCTTGCAAATAGAGTGGCACAACTCTTTGTCTTGATCTCCATCTCGATCCACTTCCTTCCATAGCCCATCCATTGATTGCAAGCCGAAAGAGTTGAACAACCAGCGGCCCAATCCCATCACCATACACGGTTACTGCTTGTAGGCGTGTGTCACTATTTGTTTTAAGTTTTGAAAGAAACATACACAATTTCCATAAAATGTTGTAAAGAGAAATCATATAAGAAATATATGGTTGGTTCCCTATGAGAACGTAACTAATAAAAAACAAAATGAAATAAGCGTACTTTATAATAAACAAAATAATATTAGTGGTTGAAAAATCAAAATTTACATCATCATCACCACTGTAATTTTCATGCTTTTTTTGAATTTCCTTTTCCATTTCATTTGCTCACCTCTGGATTGGACAATCTACAACCCAGATAAGAGTATAGAAGAGTTAGTGTCCAATTCAAATAAAATCACTGTAATCAAGCATATACATGTATTGTTGCAAAGAAAGAAACAGAGTAAGCAGTCAAGGATCAAAGCATACACAAGTAAGACGTCTTTAAAGAAGTGTCTCTTGACCACACACAAATTTAATGAAGTCTGCAACAAACGAATAATCTTGCAATGAGCAGTAGCAACTCCGAGTTATCTTTACCAAGTGTTCCACTCCTCACTTACTTGCAATATTGTGTAGAATCCACATAGCATAAAAAATACTCACAAATCACTCAAATATCAGAAATGTAGCTTGAGCCACAAGATACAAAAATAATTTTAGTAATTTAATTTAAAGATTTTTTAATTTAATTTAATTTAGTAATTCTATTCTTCACCTGTCTCGACTAAAAACACATAATAAACAAATAATTACAGTAACTAAATTAAAACTATAAAAAATGTTTGTAAAAATAAACACAAATTAAATCAAACTAAAGAAAAGTATAGCCACTGAAACAAATTCAAATCAGCCTTTGAAAGTTTCTGCTTTTTCTTTCGATCACAAAGCTAAGTTTGAAAAACTGAACACCTTTTTATATATTTTGCTTTCAATCTTACTTCTCCCTTTGAAGACCTTCTCCTGGAAAATAGAACCAAAGTTTATGTTCTAAGCTTAAACGATGCAAAATCGAACATACTAAACATATCAAAAAAAACTAAACACCTTCTTATCAATTTTGCTTTCGAACTTACTTCTCCCTTTGAAGACATTCTCCTGAAAAAATCTAAAAGAAAAAGTGTAATCACAAAATTAGAATAAAAACCATAAAAATGGCTAAAATAATTTTGTATTTAAAATATCAAAATCAAATACATCAACCAAGACAAAACCGAAGTTTATGTTCTATAATAATAAAGTTTAAATACAAATATTTTTCTTTCCCGGGTAAGGATCCTGAAAAAGCAACACAAATGAAAACCAAATTATAAATCGTTAAAAAGAAAAAGAATCAAATATCAGATTACTCGATAAGAATCCTCCAACAACCCCACACTACAAAAAATAATAATATAATCAATATAACACAATTACAAAAATTGAATAAACTAAATATGTCACGTTAAACATACATTTTTTAAGACGAACTGATACATCTCTTTCTCTGAAGAAGATGCAAAACAAAGTACATATAAGGAATACATATCATAACTAACACAAATACACGAACTATCATAGATCTATCATAAAAAATTAGAAGCAAGATAAGTCATTAGATACTTAAGAGTTAAGACTAACGCAATATGATATAAAAATACTTAGCTAGCAAGCAATATATATACCCAAACGGATTAGGGGTTTTATGTTCTATATTAGGTTTAGCAAATCATAGATCAACATACATTGTTCAAGATAGCAAATCATAGATCAACCTATCACACGAAGAGAGAAAACCGAAGAACATAAACAGCAAGAGTATAAATGAAAGATAAAACATGAAATCACAGCATAAAAATTAAATAAACACTTACCTCGTTCAACGTAGCAAATCATATATCAACTTATCACGAAGAAAGATAACTGAAAAAACAACATTAGAGATATGCTTGAGAACATCAAACAACCAAACAATATTACAACAACAATTTAAAAAATAAAAACAAAACAACAAAAGAACAAAAATAAAAACGAAAGAAGACCCACCACCACCGAATGCACTGCTGGAGACGTTAAAAGACGTGAAGCATTTGCCGAACACGTTAGCAATCGAAAATATTTTCAATAAACAAAAATATTTGGACTAATTGTGCAGTGCCTTCTCTAGCATGGAGAGATATTCCTGTTGTTACATATGCGATTTGAATCGTTTGTTTGCAACTACAGACCATCGTTTGCAACCGCAAACCCTATGAACTTGATGCTCATCCTTTGTAACCGCAGTTTCAGCTCATTGCTTTCAACAGTCAAGCAACTAAAGACGGGGTTTGAGAATCCAAACGACCAAAATCTATGATATATGTACCCTGCTAAAATCCAAATTAAAAAACATCAAAGTCGTTTAAAAATGTTCTCGACACCAAAACCATTGAAAGCCGTCGATTCAAAGATAATCAAAGCCCAACCCCATTTGATTACTACATGTACTATTTTTACTTTATTAAAATATTCCCGCTAATCTGTAAAAACCCTTGCAATATCGTCTTCCCCTCATGTAAAAGATGAGCACAAATTCATCGAAAATAACAAAAGAAAACCTGAAAAATACGAACACCTTTAATCAAAAATCAATAGGCATACGTTGAACTCGTCAAGATTTACTGATTAGCGTTGGCTGAAAGTAAGAAAAAAGTATATGAGCAAAGGAGTACATACATGACGGTTGTGTTGAGTGATCTCGAAGCTGACCATGCGAGAACTACCCCTACTAAAAGACTTTCGATGATCTGCCAATAATATATACTGCTTGCACAAACATGAGAAGACAAAACATCAGGATCTGAATGAAAGTAATGAAGGAAAACAGAGAAAAAAAAAAAGAAAAACACAGAATAAACTATAACCTACACAATAAATAACTAAAATCTAAACGGCTTAGCTGATTGAGACTCATGTTTGTATATATAATTATCTTGAATCTAAGGTTTTCATTTGTTATGGTTTAAATTAGGTCCAGCGGAAAACTAAAAAACAGCTAGATAAAACTAAATTAGGTTTAACACAAACCTAATACAAAAACATAATAAATTAAAAAAGTTAGAATGGACCAAACATAAATCATAAAAAACCCATAAATTTTTAAAAACCTGATCAGTAATTTAAAAAAAAAAACTAATCAAAAATGAATTTATATAGACCAACTTTAAAAGGCAAACAACCTCTGTGAGGGGTAAACCGGTATTTACGAAATAATTTTATTAAAATTAAAGTAGTTTTTCCAATGAGGGATAAAAGGCCCATGAGGGGTAAAAGGCAAACAACTCATCTAAGAAGCGTTGTGGTGCGTTTCTGACTTTGCAAATAATATATAAGACTAGATAATAACCCGCACTATGTGCGGAGTGAAACAATTATTATTTACTTAAATTTATTATAATTTAAATTATATAAATTTTATATAATATTATACTATAACAGTGACAATATAATTTTTTGATTTTTTATGATGTATAAGATAATTTAATTGTAATGTAAGTTAATTAAATTAATTTAAAAATTAAGTAGCATGCATAACACATGTTATAGCTGGGTAAAAATGCGAAGTTACCGTACAGATTTTCTATATCCAGTAATTGATGATATGATTCATTATTTTCACCAATTTCAACGATTTAGGTATATAATATTTATCTATATATTGAATCACTTTTGACTCTTCAATAATTAAATATTATTAGTTAAATAGTTTGTTACTTATCTATTAAATATTATTAGTTGAATAAATTAATAAATTTTCTTAGTCCCACATTGGACTTGTTCAAAATTTGATACAAATCGATAAGATAATTGTTTTTAAGAAAATCTATATAATTATATGGTTCCGTTAATATCATAAATTAATAATTACCATAAAATAATTTTATGTAAATATATAACTTTAATAATTTACTAAAAATATAAATATATAATGGTTTGTTTTTTTAAAAAAATTGAAATAATGTTATGGTTTATCTACAATTTAAAAGTAAAATATTTAAAGATATCATTAACATTTAAAACAAATATAATTTTCAATTAATTATTAATAAATAATTTATTTAATTCCAAACTGAAACATTTGTAATTTTATAAATTAGTAAAATATTGAAATCACAATATTATCAGTTTCTAAAAAAATTATAGTAATTAAATTGGTTGATTTAAAGCCGATAAACTAAAGAAACAAATGAACAAATCTTACTGAAATTTTGATACTTTATATGATAAATCAAACATTAATTTAAAAATAAGCAATTAATATTGGTATTATCTTACAAAAAAAAGCAATAATGCTATATACCATATTTTTCATCTAAGAGTAATATATAAATTAAACCATAATGCAATATATAATATTTCATTATAGAGTAAATCTTAATATTAATAATATATATCATAATAATTTTAGATTTCGTCATTATGACTTTTTTTTAATTGATGTTTGTGACTAAAATAACATATATTTTTAATAATTTACTTTTTATATATATTATTATGAATTTTTAAAAGATATAAACTTAAAAATATTTAGCTTCAAGTATTATTATATTTTCACAATTATTTCATGCATGTTATAATTACAACAATATATGAATAAAATAATCATAGCTTTCTTTGATTTGTTCTGATTGTTGAGTAAAAATTAAATATAAAATTTAATTATTCTGTTGTATTTATAAAAATATTTTCAATAAATAATTAATAAACATATTTTCTAATAAAAGTATTAAACATTAGTAAAGTGTTATATATTTTGTTATGAATTTGAAAAAAATAAAATATTATTTCTAATTTTTCAGTTGTTTTTATAAGAAAATTTTTTTAATGAATAATCAATAAAAATATTTTTTTTCTAAAAAGTAGTAAACATATATTTTTTTAAAAAAGTATTATATAGTTTACTATGAATGATAAAAATTGTAAACTTTAAAAAATATTATATATTTTATTATAAATTTATAATAAAATATATATATATATAATATTTTAAAAAAATATTATATAATAAATTTTGAGTATATTATAATTAGCATTAAAAATTTTTATTTTATTAAATTATTATTCTAATATTATTATATTTAAATTTATTTAAAAAAATAAAACATAACATATTTATCGACATAAAATATACATGGTATATGATGTACTTAGTCGAGTAATTTAAATTTTTTTTAAAAGTTAGTTAAGAATGAATGTGGAGCTGACACATCAGTATAATGATACCACTGTAAATACTTACAAAAAAAATAAGGTTATTTTTAAAAAATATTTTTCTTTTAATATATAGGAAATATAGTATGAATAGAAATTTGAGAAATTTCGGCAAATTAAAAAAAAAAAAAATAGACATTTGATACATATGTTGAAGATAAACACTGGCTTAAAAACAACATGATTCCTCCACAATCAAAACTACTTTGTATTCAGATAACTGGACTAATTATGGAAACAAAAGGATTTTTTCAATTGATCGAAAATCAAAGAGGTGAGTTATCGCAATTTCTCAGATAATTAAAGCATCATGGAATTTTGAGAGGCGTTTCCCCTTCGCCGGCTTAGGTGGATTCGCCGCATGTCAGGATGTTCTCCAATCTGCTTCGAAAACTCCATTGCGACGCTGTCGGTTTTCTCTCAGACCGAATTTATGGAGTTTGGCGCAATGCGGTGGAGTGAACTTCAAGTGTGAAGGAGGCTTCCAGTCTGCTGTAGTTAGTCCTCCCAAGCCGGAAGGAGGAAGAGATCTGATTCTCGTTTGCTTGCGGCAGCAGCAATGGAGGCGGATACCTACAACGGCAATCACAACATAAGTACCTTTTCCGATGGAACAATGGCTGAAATGCCATTTTTGTTGAAAAACTAATCTCAGATGCCATTGTCATATTTACAATTTTTTTTTGAATTTTTTTTTTAAATCAAAACGCAGGAATACTCTTTAAACCCTTACTGAATTAAAAAAATTACACAACATAACCATCCAAACCTGCTAACTCAACTAGAATCCATCTAATTTTTCTTTTATTTCGATTATCATTTTATTTTCTTCATCGAGTTCTTCATGTAAGATTTTTTTTTTTAATTCCATTAATTCAATTGAAGGAGGAGGAGACGATGAATTTCAATCTTACTACCACGGATCTCAAGTCTCTCCTTGACACAGATGGCAGGCTCTCCTCGGTGGCTTCATCGTTTCTCCGCTGCTTCTCCGCCGCCATGGATGCGTGCTTCTGCTCCGATGTCTCTTCCCTTTCCTTGATCTTCAGTTTCTCAGCATAACAGCCTCGACCTCTACTTGCACTCTCTCACTAAGGTTTTCCATTCTCCTCTTCGTTCTCTGTTGAATTGCATTTTCTGATATTTTTTTTCTGTACTCTTTTGAAGTTTAGTCATGTCATGTCTGTAGATTCGTGCGAGTTTCTTGGCATGTCTCTATACTGGAGCTATGCTGCTGTGTCGAGTTTCTTTATTGCATTCTCCGCTTATTTTTTTAGGTTTAGTTCAACAATGACTGTTGTAGCAATTTCAGGGCATAAAATTTCTGCAACTTAATTGATTTTTACGATTCTCCCTAGTTTAGGTTTCAATGAATGATGATGTGTGGATTTGTTTTTTGTCCTGACGAGATTGATATTCTTTATACAGTACTGCGATGATATATTTGAGGTGAAGCTGGAAGAGCTCATTAATTAGTCGAGGGAAGGTGATGAAGGCATGGATGCATGGCTAACTGGGCATTTAACTAATCAATTTTCCTCTCTGTCTTCACCAAATGATCTATTAAATTTCTTTATTGACGTACGAGGTTAACTTCCTTGTTTTCATCATGTTTGGAGCCTTGATTCTGGAGCAGCTCATGATGGTCAACACTGTAGTTTGTACAAAGCTAGAGGATAAGCTTGAAGATGTCTTGCGTTTGAGAGAAGAAGATCTACATTGGTATGCTGATATCGTGAACTACTTGGCTTGTGGAGAAGAGCCTACTCACCTTGACTACTACCACAAGAAGAAGTTCATGAGAGACATCTCTCATTATTTTTGGGACGAGCCTTACCTGTACAAGAGGGGTGTAGATAGCTTATACCGAAGGTGTGTGACAAGAGAAGAAGCAAAAGGCATCCTTCTCCATTGCCATGGTTTGTCTTATGGAGGTCACTTTGCATCGTTCAAGACGGCTACAAAGGTCAACATTTTTCAAAGATGCTCACGAGTTTTTAAAGGCGTGTGAAGCTTGCCAAAGAGCTGAAAACATCACAAAGAGGAATGAGATGCCACAGGCACCAATCTTTGAAGTGGGTGTGTTTGATGCTTGGGGGATTGATTTTATGGGTCCATTCCCATCTTCTTACGGCAACAAATACATCTTGAGTGCTGTAGACTATGTGTCTAAGTGGGTTGAGGCTATAGCTTCCCCAACTAATGACTCAAAGGTGGTAGTAAAGCTCTTCAAGACTATCATCTTCCCACGGTTTGGGGTTCCTAAGGTAGTGATCAGTGATGGGGGCAGCCACTTTTTTAACAAAGTGTTTGAAGGTCTCTTGAAGAAGTATGGAGTGAAGCACAAGGTAGCTACACCTTATCACCCTCAAACTAGTGGGCAAGTGGAGGTATCGAATAGACAGATCAAGGCCATCCTATAAAGGACCATAGGAGTAACTCAGAAAGATTGGGCAAGTAAGCTGGACGATGCCCTTTGGGCGTATAGAACCGCTTACAAGACTCCCATTGGTACCACTCCTTTCAATCTCCTCTATGAAAAGTCTTGTCACCTCCCTGTTGAGTTAGAGCACAGAGCACTATGGGCTGTAAAGCGAGCGAACTTCAGTCTCAAGACGGCACAAGAAAGAAGGTTGGTGCAACTCCATGAGCTTAATGAGCTAAGGCTGGACGCTAATGAGAGCGCCAAGATCTACAAAGAAAGGACCAAGGCGGTTCATGATAAGAAGCTGGTGCTCAAGGAGCTTAAGGAGGGAAGTCTGGTTTTGCTTTACAACTCACGCTTGAAGCTGTTCCCAGGGAAGCTAAAGTCAAGGTGGTGCGGACCTTTTGAGATTAAAGAAGTGCTACCATATGGAGCAGTTACTTTAGTTGGCAAGGGTGGAAAGGCTTTCACGGTGAATGGGCATAGAGCCAAGCCCTACATGGCGAGTGATTGCAGCAAGGAGAGCACCACATTGCTTCTCCAAGATCCACCCCTGGCCTAACCAAGTAAAGTCAAGCTAGTGACGTTAAACAAGCGCACTTGGGAGGCATTCCCATGTCTATCATTATACATATTTTTGCTTTCTTTTTGTTTGAATTTTATGCTTTTATGTCTAAGTGTGTAGGTGAATGGATAAGGGACCTGGAGAACATGATCTTGGAGTCAACGGAAAGGAGAGTAAGAAGTAAGAGATCGAGTGCTAGATCGACTTATCCTGTCTTGATCTTTACTAGATCGAGCTAGTGAATCGAGTGAAGTCACTCATTCTAGATAAGATCGAGTAGACAATCGAGTGAGTCAGTCGATTATGAGAGGATAACCCACCCACGTGTTTAGCTTGAAATGCAAACGGGGTGTGGATAGACTGACATCACTCGATCCTCGAATTGGATCGATCATTTTACTCGTTCTCTCACTCGATCCTTGCCAAAACAACCTCTAAATCGATCACACGGCTCGATCCAAGAAGCAAGGCCATACTCACGTAGAATCTTGGAACGAGGGGGCACACTCGATCTAGGACACGATTTAATTCAAATCGAGTCCCCAATCGATCTACCCTCTCGATCCTAGCCAACATGGGTATGAGATCGAGGTCAAGATCGACCAAATTGACTCGATCTCATGTCAAGGTAAGTTTAAGTTTTCCCTCTCTTTTCTCTTTTCCTCCTATTTTAAATTCGAATCTTGGTCAATGCAAGCATCTTTGACCATGAAAGATGTGCCTTGACCAACTTTGTCAGAAAACCACTTACATAGTCCATAGTTTTCTTGGTCTTCATAATCGAATGCATCCACACTCTCTCTCATTTGTGTTTCGAACTGTTTTCTAAAATAAAGAGAGAGTGTGTGTCTGGTTTTTAAAGCTAAGAGCATCTAGAATTCATCATTTCAAAGGTATTTCGAAGTTTCTTGAATTTCATGTTTAAATTCTTAGAAAATTTCTTTTTCTTTGAGTTGATTTAGTGTTATTTGCTAGGGATTAGGTTAAATTTTTAGGAGTATCTAAATATTAGGGAAAATTGCTTGATTTGATCTTATCTCTGGATATTTTCTCCTTCTATTTATTGATAAGTTTTATAAAATCCCTAAAATTCTAGGATTTAACTTAAAAGTTTTTTAAACCGCTGCATATACTCATCCTTCTCTTTGAAAATTTTAATCTTAGGTACCAATGACACCAAAGAGAAGCAGAGATGTGGCAACTTCAACCAAAGAGAAAGAAACTCAACAAGTGGTGCAAGAGGAAGGTCAACAAGTGGTTCAAGAGAGGGTTAGATGGACTAAGGAGGAGAAGCAAGCTAAGAAAAGGTTGGAGAGGCTCCGGTTTGATCCTATGTAGTTTGCAAGCAGGGACCTATTGGCAAATATGGGGCTGTTGGGAGACTTTGATGAGCTTCTCAAGAACATGGGGCTTCCGTGCTTGTCAAGGATGGACTGCCCTACTTATCCCGAAGCAGCACTTGACTTCTTCTCCACCTTGGAGTTCTCTTATGAGAATGCAAGCCTCCCCACTCCATCGCAAGGTCACCTCACATTCAAGATCAGGAGGCAAGCCTACCACCTCTCCATCCCCGAGCTATGTCAAGCCTACGGTCTAAAAGCCAACGTCAAGCTTGTAGAGTTCCCTCCTTTCAAACAAGCAACCGATCTATGCGACTTGATCAGCAATGATGACTACAAAGCCAACACCGCCAATATCAAGAAGGTCCGCAACCCCTTGCTGAGATACGCCATCAAGCTCTTAGCCAACACTTTCAGTGGGAGATCCGTGGCTCCAACGGTCACCAAGAATGAGTTGTGCTTTCTCTTCCAAGGAGTTAAAAAGATTCTATGCGATCCTGCAGAGAATGAAGAGCCAATGAAAGATGAGCTTGGAGATGATGTCAACTATGGATGCATTTTGGCTTCCTCTTTGGTCAAGTACAAGGCATGGGCAATGCGATGCAAGGCGAGCTCAGCACTCATAGGAGGCTTCCTCACACTGCTGTTCATAGAAGCGGGGGTACCTATCTCGGAGTTTCAACCTTGCGCGGAGAGAACTTACATGGACGAGACTTACTTGCGCAACATTGACTCCTTGGGACGCACGCCAGCTCCAGGTTTCTACACCTACTTGTTCATCAATGGTGATAATGAGAAGAAGGAGTGTATCTAGCCAAAACAAGAGGACACAGAACTGCTAGGCGTTGGCAACATAGAGTTTCTGCCAAGCGATGAGGATTGTGTTGCACCTCTAGGAGCCACAGCCGCGCCACCACAAGTTGCTCGCCCAGGTTCAGAGTCACTTCCTTCTGATGCTTAGATGCCCACGAGCTTCGACCTTCCCAAACTTAATTACGAGCCGAGGACAAAAGCCGAGATGTTTCTTGCATCTGTCATGGAGATTCAGCGCAAGGTCAATAAGTGGCAGAGCAAGATGATTGATATTACTATATATTTTGCACATTGTGCATGCATTTAGGATAGTTTTTCATGCATTCGTCTTGCATTGTAGGCTAGTTTGTTCCATTTGTTGCATTCTAGGTCGTAGGTCTCTTTGCATTCGCATTTTACATATTTCTTGCACTTTTGCATTATTATCAGGTTGTTTGGAGCACACTGGAGTTGTGGAGGTTATGTGGACGTGAGGAGGATTAAAACGAAGCTTGTGGACACTTGGAGAACTCAGCCGCAAGGGACCCGAGATCGAGTAGCAGATCGAGCAAGGCAGGTCGATCTAGACGAGATCGACCAGAAGATCGAAGTGACCCAAGTCGATTCAAGGGGAAGGATCGAGACCAAGATCGAGAGAGGAGATCGATCTGGAGTACGGACGTAGATGACTCCATGAAGAACGAGAGCCAGATCGAGACCACGACTCGATCATCTAAGGATCGAGTAGAAGATCAAAGGAAGTGCTCGATCCATCCAACCAGATCGACTTGAAGATCGAGCAGAAGAAGTCGATCCATGAAGAAGATCAAGCGAACTGATCGATCTCAAGGTCGATCCCTGGAGCCTTAACCGTTTTTGGCATCTAATGAGGGGACCATTTGGAGTTGTTTGGCCATTTTATGCAAAGGCGGCTATCCCTTTCGACACAACTTTTCTATCTTATATTTTTCAGCTTTCTCTTTGGCGATTATCTGCCATTGTCATTGTTCTTGATTTTTTTCATGTTTTGAACTCGAATCTTTTTAATATTAAGCATTTCTCTTTAATTTCTCTTTAATCATGTTTAGTTCATCTTTCATTGCATTTCAATCGGTTTTAAACATGAATAGTGAGTAGTTCTTTTTGGGTTAAGGGTCGAGGCAACTCAAGGGTTTAAGGGGTTTATGCTTTGTGTTTTTCTTGTTCTTCATTCATTCCTTTCTAGGATTTTGGGGTCCTAAAGCTTAGAGAGTCTTGGAAAAGATCTCTATGATTCCAAGGCTGTCTTACCCTGACCGGATTCAAATATCCTAGAAAACCAGATCCTAGAGACTAATCAAACCTCTCCCAAA